ACAGACCACTCCCACTAGCGAGAATATTCTTCTATTTTTATCTCTTCTTCTCATTTCTCTTTTTACTCTTCGTATAGAGGCAACTAAGCTATGATTATCCTGTCCTTTTCCTCATTGTCTTTTTTTTTATAACTTTATTAGCCCTTTTGCATTAAAATGTCGCACTATAATTGTTCTTCTATTTCGTACAAAATCTTTCGAATTATTATTTTTTCTCACTATTCAAATACAATAACCCTCCTTTTATCGTTTTCAATTTCCCTTCTCCTTTTATTCCTTCTTTCTCATTCTACTTTTGACTCCTCCTCATCTGGTAAGCCTTATCTTTTATGCTGACCAGAACATCCTAGTTGATCTTTTATGTTGTATTATCTTACCCGGGATGAGAGTCTTCTGTAATGTTCCCACACATATGGTCTACTTTCCTGGCCTTTATATGTGTCAGTTCTTGAAAGTACATTAGATACTAATTAATTTTTTTTATTATGTATCTATTTACTTCTTTGCAAGTCGATATATTTTTATATATTAAGTATTTGTTTCCTTACATCTATATTACTCATATATAATCAATAAAAATATTCTTTTCAGTAAATTCATTTTCTCTTTTCAGTTTTTGATGATTTGACTTGTTATACCAAGCATATTTTGAGTTGGAACATTCAACAGTTATAGCTTTTCTTCTCATATTATTGATTTAATTGGCAATTTTTTCATTGTTATTATTATTATTATTATTATTATTATTATTATTATTATTATTATTATTATTATTATTATTATTATTATTATTATTATTATTATTATTATTATTATTATTAGTTTTATTTTTATTATTATTATAATTATTTTTATTATTATTATTATTACCATTATTATTAATATTTTTATTATTATTATTATTATTATTATTATTATTATTATTATTATTATTATTATTATTATTATTATTATTATTATTATCATTAGTAGTAGTAGTAGTAGTAGTAGTAGTAGTAGTAGTAGTAGTAGTAGTAGTAGTAGTAGTGGTAGTATCATTATTGCTATTGTTATTACTAGTAATATTAGTATTATCAGTATTACGGAAAAATAATAAACTATATATAGTGATAATCTCTTACATGTATAAACGCATAATAAATAATAATTAAAATAAATAGTAACATTAAAGGTGCAAGCAAAACAAACACCAAACAAAATAATAATAATAATAATAATAATAATAATAATAATAATAATAATAATAATAATAATAATAATAATAATAATAATAATAATAATAATATAATAATAATAATAAAAATAATAATAATAATAATAATAATAATAATAATAATAATAATAATAATAATAATAACAATAATAATAATAATAATAATAATAATAATAATAATAATAATAATAATAATAATAATAATAATAAAAATAATAATAATAATAATAATAATAAAAATCATAATAATAATAATCATAATAATAAAACCACCTCCACCATCACCAACAAGAACAATGAATACAGCAACAACAACGAATAATTGCTTATTAAGTAAGTAACAACTTATCAATTTGCCATTATCTTGTCTCGAGTATTTGCTGCATCATAATTTTCCTTATTTTGGTCTGAATAATGTCAACATTCCACTGCATATATCATCCCCCCCTCCTATGCAAATTCAAAAGCCTCAATGACTGCATCACTAAATGCATGGAGTCATTGCTTGAGCAGTATCTTTACGATATAAGAAAAAAAATGCCCATACCGAAACCTGTGTGTCAAAAAGAATAAGTATTGAACACAAATTATCTACAACCGTGATATATATATATATATATATATATATATATATATATATATATATATATATATATATATATATATATATATATATATATATATATATATATATATATATATATATATATATATATATATATATATATATATATATATATATATATATATATATATATATATATATATATATATATATATATATATATATATATATATATATATATATATATATATATATATATATATATATATACATATATATATATATATATATATATATATATATATATATATATATATATATATATATATATATATATATATATATATATATATATATATATATATATATATATATATATATATATATATATATATATATATATATATATATATATATATATATATATATATATATATATGTATATATAAATATATATATATATATATATATATATATATATATATATATATATATATATATATATATATATATATATATATATATATATATATATATATATATATATATATATCAATATGGTGTGTACTTGGTAGCGACTTGACTTAGTAATTATATTTCCTAGGTTCGAGTCCCGGTCGGGGTAAAAAATTATTCATATACATATATATATATATATATATATATATATATATATATATATATATATATATATATATATATATATATATATATATATATATATATATATATACACATATATAAATATATATATATATATATATATATATATATATATATATATATATATATATATATATATATATATATATATATATATATATATATATATATACATATATATATATATATATATATATATATATATATATATATATATATATATATATATATATATATATATATATATATATATATATATATATATATATATATATATATGTATATATATATATATATATATATATATATATATATATATATATATATATATATATATATATATATATATATATATATATATATATATATATATATATATATATATATATATATATATATATATATATATATATATATATATATATATATATATATATATATATATATATATATATATATATATATATATATATATACATGTAGTCTACCAGTATACATGCCCCCATGAAGACTGCAGTATTCAATCGACTTATATTGGTATGACAACAACTAAATTGACAAAGAAACTAACATTTCACTAACACGAAGGCGCCCCCAAAATTCATATGATGAAAAGAAAACCAGTTACCCCAACCTCACTCGTGGCTTCATTTTCGCATTTAATTCAACTCCCTTCTGTGGTGTAGTTGGTAGCGCATTGACTTAGTAATAATAAGTTCTAGGTTCAAGTCCCAGTCGGGGCAAAAAAAATTATTCATGTTTTCACATATGTAATGTGCTTATTTGGTTATTGTTGGGCCAAATGAGATTGGGAGTTAAATTAAATGCGAAAATGAAGCCATGAGTGAAGTTTGGGAATCTGTAATGAGAACATAGTGGCATTCAGATAAAATGCGTTCATTCCTAAGTATAGCATATATTAGCTATAAGGTCTGATTACTTTTAACCTTCTGTGGTGTAGTTGGTAGCACCTTGGTAGGGGTAAAAAAAATTATTCATGTTTTCACAAATGAGATGTGCTTATTTGGTTATTGTTGGGCCCAAATGAGATTGAGAGTTGAAGTAAATGCGAAAATGAAGCCAGGAGTAAGGTTGGGGAATCTGTAATATGAACATAGTGGCATTCAGATAAAATACGTTCATTCCTAAGTATAGCAGATAAAAGCTATAAGGTCTGATTGTTTTTAACCTTCTGTGGTGTATTTGGTAGAGCCTTGACTTACTAATTATAAGTCCTAGGTTCAAGTCTCGGTCAGGGTAAAAATATCATTCATGTTTTCACATATGTAATGTGCTTATTTGGTTATTGTTGGGCACAATTGAGATTGGGAGTTGAATTAGATGCGAAAATGAAGCAACGAGTGAGGTTAGGGAATCTGTAATATGAACATAGTGGCATTCAGATAGAATGCGTTCATTCGTAAGTGTAACAGATATAAGCTATAATGTCTGATTCCTTTTAACCTTCTGTGGTGTAGTTGGTAGCGCCGTGATATAGTAATTATAAGTCCTAGTTTCAAATCCCGGTCAGCGCAAAAAAATTATTCATGTTTTCACATATGTAATGGGCTTATTTGGTTAATGCTGGGCCCAAATGAGATTGGGAATTGAATTAAATGCGAAAATTAAGCCATGGGTGAGGTTGGGGAATCTGTAATATGAACATAGTGGTATTCAGATAGAATGCATTCATTCCTAAGTATAGCAGATAAAAGATATAAGGTCTGATTCCTTTTAACCTTCTGTGGTGTAGTTGGTAGCACATTGACTTAGTAATTATAAGTCCTAAGTTCAAGTCCTGGTCGGGGTAAAAAATTATTCATGTTTTCACATATATAGTGCGCTTATTTGGTTACTGTATAGCCCGACTGAGATAGGAAATTGAATTAAATGTGAAAATGAAGCCACGAGCGAGGTCGGGGAATCTGTGATATGAACATAGTGGCATTCAGATAGAATGCGTTCATTCGTAAGTATAGCAGACCTAAGCTATAAGGTTGGATTCCTTATAGCCTTCTGTGGTGTAGTTGGTAGCGCACTGACTTAGTAATTTTAAATCCTAGCTTCAAGTCCCTGTCGGGGTTAAAAATTATTCATGTTTTCACATACAAAATGTGCTTATTTGGTTATTATTGGGCCCAAATGGGCTTGGGAGTTGAATTAAATGCAAAAATGGATCCAAGAGTGAGTTTGGGGAATCTGCAATATAAACATAGTGGCATTCAGATAGAATGCGTTCATTCCTAAATATAGCAGATATAAGCTATTAGGTCTGACTCCTTTTAACCTTCTGTTGTGTAGTTTGTAGCGCCTTGACTTAGTAATTATAAGTCCTAGATTCAAGTCCCGGTTGGAGTAAAAAAATTATTCATGTTTTCACATATGTAATGTGCTTATTTGGTTATTGTTGGGCCCGAATGAGATTGGGAATTGAATTAAATGCGAAAATGAAGCTAGAGTGAGGTTATGGAATCTGTAATAAGAACATAGTGGCATTCAGATAGAATGAGTTCATTCCTAAGTATAGATGATATAAGCTATAAGGTCTGATTCCTTTTAACCTTCAGTGGTGTAATTGGTAGCGCACTGACTTAGTAATTATAAGTCCTAGGTTCAAGTCCTGGATGGGGCA